TTTCAAGAAGTCTGAATTTTTAGGCCGACAGAAAAAGCTAAAAAGCTGAAGTTATGTATTCAAAAACTTAGAGAAGCACTTCATAAAAACAAAATTCGAGGCTTCTTGGATTTCAAAGTGGAAAACTAAAAAAATTTTTTCAGCTCAACATTCTGGTAAACAATGAGGAAAGTCAAACTAAAAGGACTTTTAGTCATGCCGTATTTAGAAATTTCAAAATTTACATAATACAGAGCGGAGCCAAAGAAAACTGAAAAAAGTTGAATGTTAAAAACTGTAGAAACAACTGTGCTCCTAAGTTTTTTCACACGAAAAATAACGAGTTTTGCTAGTCAGTTTGTAAAAAATGTCATTTTGTGTCAATTTTGCTTTTTCCATCAAAAAATGACTTCCCCAAAAGTCCTGTGAAAGAATATTTTCGATACAACGACCAGAAGCAATTTTATACCTCTGTGATACTTTCATTCATTTTTATGATAAATTGTTACCGGCATAAAAGGTACAAATCTGTCACCAGTCCGCTTCTATGCTGCCTTCAGAAAAGACAGCTATCAAAGCCTCTGCCAACGAATTGTTGCTATTGGCAGTTGCTACCACTCGACCATTTCCGAGTGCCTTCGCTTGTCATAAGACTAATACGGGGAGAGGGTTTTCTGATTTTCGAAATCAGTGCACATTGACGGTAAAACAGACGACTATCTTCACAGAACCGCTCTCAGCAGGACCCAAAGAGTTGCAAGCGTAGTAAAACTATGGCTAAAAATAAGACAATCAAACAGCTGGTAGTGTTTTTTGCAAGGAAGTCAATTTTTGTTCGTTTCTTCTTTTTTTCTCAATTTTTGGAAGCATTTGTTGTTTGCTGTTCAGCTTGCGAGAAAGATGTGTAGCTGGGGTTTCACTTGGCTGTATTGGTGAACGCTGATCTGAAATTTTACCCGTACCATTTCGTCATCGTCTATTTCATCGTGCTGTGCACTTCGTGATGACATATCTCCGCTACTTTCGGCAACTTGACTTGCTTCTCCATTACTATTGTTATTAA